ATGTAATTCAGGCTAGCCTTAAGCTCACTATGTAGCCGAGGCTGGCCTCAAACTTGCAATGATTTTTCTGCTTCAGCCTGCAAAGTGCTAAGATTTCGGGACTGGCCACCGCGCCACCGGGCTTCTCTAATAACTTTAACTCAGAAAGCTGAGGCTCCGAGAAAACATGTTATTTATTTGCTCAAAGTCACAAACTTGAGAGGGTAGGCTCAGATTTGAATCGAGACTCTTGCCATTTACATTAAATTTGGCTGTTTCACCGGTAGGAATTGCTTGGGAATTTAGCTGAAACAGTTGCCACTGCCAGTGTTAGGAGGCCCAAAAAGAGAAGGGAGAACGAAAAAAGTGCAGCGAGGTCGTTGCAACGGATTAATAGACTTACAAGCTGGCTTTGCTTTTGGTTCCTCGTTCTGAGTTAAAGCCTAACGCGCTGTGTCCATTGTTCACCGTTTTGTGTTTAAATAAAGCTCGATTATTGAGAAGGCTGGGGGAAGAGCGCGACGGCGGCGCTGTGCGCCTGCGTGCTGGCGGCTGCAGTGCCCGGCGGGGAGCCGGTCCGGAGTGGGCCGCGGGACCCTAAACTGTGGGGGGGCGTCTGGGACGCTGGGGAGCTCCCTTGCCGGGCCCATGGCGGTCTGATGGAATGAGAAGGGTCGACTGTGAAAGTGAGTCTCGGGGAACCGCCCTGCGCTAAGCCGGAGGATCCTGGAGGGTCTGCTCTTTGGGGGCGATGGGGCTGCAGGACGTGGCCGGGTGGCTGCCCTACAGGCTGCGGCTCCGGAACCACCCGGTCTCCACTTTACCTGCAACCCGAGCAGGCTTACGGGCAGACGACGCTCTTGGCTTCAGGGTACAGGTTCTTGTGGGGGCGTTCCGATTGTGCTCCGAGCCCCGGAAGAAAACGTGGTCCAAAGCCTTGCGTGACCTTTAGGGGAGGCCGCCGCCTCCTGTTAGCCTGCGATTGGGGAGGAGGCCGTAGAAGATGGTGCCTAAGAGTTAGGGGTTCTCGGGCCAGGGCCACCTTTAGGCCTCTTGTGACTGACAGCCTCAGTTCTTTTGTTTTGGTCTATTCTCCTTGTGGAAGGAATCTCAGTAGTAACTAGTAACGAGGTGCCTACTTTGTATCCTTTTATAGTGTAATTTAATCGGTGCATAATTATGGAGCGAAAATGCTTTGCATTGCCCTCCCTTCCACAGTGTGGTCCGTTCGGTCGTGTTTGAGAGTAGGAGTAAGGCATCTTGTAAAGTTTGAGCTTTCATTAGTTTTTTTTTTTTTTTTTTTGCGGAACTAGGGATTGAACTGAGGCCCATGCGCTTGCCAGGTAAGCGCTTATTCTACTGAGCTATCTCCCCAGCCCCGATGTTTTTATTTAATCTAGTACATGTGTACTTTAACCACCATAATTTATACTGAGTTGATTCAAACCACACATTTTGAGTACTTGTTAAATTCTGACTCCCTTGGGGCTGGTGAGATGGCTCAGTGGTCTAAAGCACCTACTTAGAACAAGTTTAGCAAAGCACTGGGACCGCAGTTCAATCCCCCAGCACCACATGCCAGCCAGTCCCGCCCCCTGGTGGGCGGAGCTGGCCACACACACGTAAAATAAAAAAAACTAATTATAAAAAAAAATGGCCTTATTAAAAAAAAATAAAAATAAATTCTGACTCCCTTTAGAAACCGTAAAATTTCACAGCCAGACATGGTGGCACATGCCTGTAGTCCCAGCCTTTGGGGACATAGGCAGGAGGATTGCTGCAAATTCGGGCCAACCTGAATTACATAGTGAGACCCTATCTCAAGCAAAAACAACACAAAATCATAAAATTTATCTTACGTTCTGTTCTCAGGTTCTGCCAAGAATTAAACAGGGGAAGTTAGTGTTTTAGATTCAGCTTCGATTTACTTAGTACCTGCTCCACTTGTACCAAACACACTCAGGTCTGTCACACACGAAAAAAATCGAGGTATGTTGTAATGTCAGGTAGTTTTGGCAGCACATTTCAGATGAGATCGCTGAGATTCTGATGGTGACTTACTCATGCTAACCTCCTAGTGTAATTGCCATCAATATGGTACCAAAGCTCATCTTTGTCTTGTTATATTGTTACATACTAGAATTTTTACTGGGAAAACTAACTATATTACAAATACAGTTTCTATTTAATTTAATTTTATTGTACAAGGAATTGAACTCACAATCTCATGCTTGCCAGGCAGGTACTGTGCTGCTGAGCTATATCCCTGGCCCTCCACAGTTAGTTTTTAAGAGTTAGTTCCAGACTAGACTAGAAAGTGGTAGGATCTTTCTCCTTGCTCAGGATTGAACGGAAGGGCTTCATAATGAGTTATAATCCTCAGTGTTTTTTTTTTTTTTGTTTGTTTGTTTTAAAGTTTTACTAAGTTACCTAGATTTTGCCAGAATTTGGTTTGTTTTTGGTACGGGAAACTCTGGACCTTGTGCTTCCCAAGCAGGCATTTGTGTCACTGAGCTATATCTTATTATTTGAACCTTGAGAACTTGTTTGGAGGTTCTAGCAGGGGAGAGCAGTTACTCATATACCCTTGACCAAGGAATGGTCCTCCTCTATTGGGGGTGGTCGTCCTCTCCCACCGAGTACCCACAGCTTCGGGAGGGATGCACATGGATCATTGAGGGAGGAAGGGGACACCCGCCTAGCCAGCCAGATGAGCCGAATCAACTCTGGCGATCAATGGGGTGACAGATGTCACAGCCAGATCACCCTCAAATCCTATATCTTAATATTTGGGACCCTGCTGCCACAGACTCCTGAGTGCTAGGGTAACAAATGTGCACCAACGTGCCTAGTGTATGCCTGTAATTAAAGAGATCTACTTGATTGTTTTTTGTGGGTCTGGAGATGAATCCCAGGATCTTGCAAAGGCAAGGCAAATGGTGTACCATTTAGCAATGGATTATTGTTGTTTGTTTTGTTTTATTTATTTTGGGGGAGGGACAAGAGTCTCGCTTGGTATTTCACACTGGCCTTGAACTCATGGAGATCCTCCTGCTTCAGTCTCCCAAGTACTGGGGATTACAGGAATGTGTTACCTTGCCTAGTCTATGGTGTGTTTTTTTTTGAGACAGGGTCTCGCTATGCAGTTCAAGCCAGCCTTGTGCTCACTTTTGTAGTTCCCAATCTGGTCTCAAACCCCCAGAGCTCCTCCTGTAGTCTCAACCTCCCAAGTACTGAGATTATAAGGTGTGGTACCACACCTAGTTCCAGGGCAGGTGTGGCCAGCTGGGAGTTTTGGGCAGGGTCAGCTCGGTTGGGTCAGGTCCAGTCAGGTCGGCCAGCCGACCCTTGCTGGTTTATGCCTTTGAGTTAATGCCCCAGCCCCATCTGGATGGTTTTTAAGGAGAATTTATCCTAATGGCCTAAAAGGAGGGTAGAGGACGTGTGGGAATTTGATCCTGCTGGTTCATAATCAGTTGCTTTGATTAAATGGGCAATGTTTGAAAAGGAAAAACTATGTTGATTATTATACATGTTTGGAGCAGATTATACAAGAAAAGCAAGGAACAATGACACATGGTACAACTGATGGCTCAGTGAGAATTTTTTTCTTGAGACAGTCTCCTTAAGTAGTCCAATCTGGCCTCGAACTCGTGGACAAGTTACATCCTGTCTCAGCCTCCCGAGTTCTGGGATCACAGGCATGTGCTGTTATGCCTGGCTCAGTGAGAATTATTCATATTGTGTTTTCTTTTTTTCTGAACTGGGGATTGAACTCAGGACCTTGCAATTGCCAGGCAGGCACTTAAGCTGCTGCTGAACTATCTTATCTCTCTAGCGTTTTTGTCTTTTTAAAAAATTTTAATTAAGTTTATTAGTGCATTTTAGCTATACAAAATGACCATATTCATCATAGGGAATTTGGGTGACTTCAATATTTAGCTGTTACAAACTGCTGCTATGAACATGGGTGCATATATATGTATCACTGTGGTATTCTGAAAAAGATCAAAGAGTATAGCAGAAAATGAAAAGATGCCTCTACTCATGGATAGAATCAACATAGTGAAAATGGCCATTTTTGCAAAGTTGTTATATAGATTTAGTGTAATTTCAACCGAAATACCATTAACATACCTCACAGAACTAGAGCTGGCATTCCCGAAATTTGGAACCAGAAGAGACCTTGAAGAGCAAAAACAATTCTTGCCAACAAAGGCAAGGAGAGGGCATCACAATCCCTGACTTGAAGTTATACAATAAAGCTACTGTGATTTAATAGAAAGAAATAAACCAACCAACCAAACAAAAAACAATGCAGAAGATTAGTGGAAAAGAGTAGAAGATACAGAAATAACTCCATACTCCACACCTTATCTTAACAAAGGAGCCAAACAGGCTTACTGGAAGAAAGATAGCCTCTTTAATGAATAGTGCCTGGAAAACTGGCTGTCCACATGCCAGACTAAAACTGGACCCATATCTATCACCATGCACTAAACTAATGCTAAAGTGGTTCAAAGATCTAAATATTAAAACACAAACACTATACCTGCTGGAAGAGAGAATAGGCAGAACTTCTGAAGACTGGTGTAGGCAAAGAGTTTATGAACAAAAACCTGATAATGTGGGAATACTAAGAATCAACTAAACAGCTTTTAATGTTTATTGGTTGTCTTCATAACTTGCAAATTGTTCTATATTGTTCAATATTCTTTTGGCCTCTTTAGGTAGTTTATAAATGCATATGTAATTTATATATGTGCATTGTTGGCCTATGTTTCTACTGGAACTTGCATTTTTGCTTTTAATGGCTTTTGTCTTATGGGATATTTAGATTTTTTTGCTCCCAATCTCAGTCTTTCCCCGGATTTTATCTTTTAATTAAGATACAGACACCTCAAAGTCCTAAGTACATTTTTTTTTTTTTTTTTTTTTTTTAAGGAAGG